TGTTGTGTTGTGTGTGTGTGTGGAAATTTGTCGGAAGAGTGATACGGGTGCTTGTGTTGTTTTTAGCCACAGATTAGTGAGACTGTATATTTGGTTAGAGCTTCCTCAGTGAGACACCACTCCCTGACGATAATGTGAATCATGCACAGCCTTGTCTGTTTGCCTCGGGCTCTGGTGATACAGCCAGGGGCCAATAATGAGCTCTCTATCTGGCACTGAAACCTGAAGGACAGGGTATCACTTCCTGATGCCACTGCATTTGGTTCTGTCAACACTGGTTAGACAGCAGCGATTGAATTTAACAGCACTTACTGTGCACCTTTCATGTCAGCACTTTTAAATATTCAGAACATTTTTTGAGAAGCAAGTAATTTTTGACAGATGGTGTCAGGTTCAAGGAGAGTCCGACAACATGTGTTATATAAATTAAAAAGCTCTGCTTTGGTTTCAAACAACAACACTAGCAAAAATGATAGATTGCACATAAATTGACAAAAAGTCTTTCAAATCAGGCCAAACATTGCATCAAAATAACTTCTGTTCAGTAAGCATTTCATGACTTTGAAGTGTTTGAAAAGTTCCTGGTGAAATGTAAACCTTGCAATAACGTGGACACGGTGTTCTTTGTGTGACAGCTTGCTAATGTGATATATGTCACAGAGCAGAAGGCCATGTCATTACTTTAAGGTGGGGGGCTGCCTGAGAGAAAAAAGAGCAGTCCTCGTTCCCAGGATGGTCATCATGTTGTGATATCCTGACCAAGCTGTGTTTGTGTTTACAGTGGGGAGTCAGATTGAGGAGGGGTGTCTGTCTGTGTGTTTTTTGTGTGTTTTTGTTTAGGCATTTGTCTTGGGGTCATCTAGGGACTAATCGCTGAAATGCTAATAGAGAAGATGAATGGTGTCCATGTCTAATCTAAAGTGGGTGTCTTTGATAATGATCACTTCTGCCTCAGTAGGATGTCTGTCTGCCTCATGTCAACATTGAGGGAATTTTTTAAGTTAATTGTTTTATTTTATTCAAGGGTAAACAAATTGGTGTTCAAAGGCAGAGCTGTAACGAAGCGTCGATGACGTCGACGGCTCGATTCTAAAAATTCGTTGACGTAAGATCTGGTAGTCGACACACCACGTCCACTTGCATCCCCAGTAGTTTGTAAATAGAGGAGGAACCTGCAAGTTTTTCCTCCTCTAGTTCGCCCTCTTCTCCACCTTCACTAACATCTCCGCCAAATACCGAAGACCCGGAACAATGTCCGTCCGCTACTAGATTCCTTTCCTGTTTTGCCCGCCTTCATCTTCCGGCAACGGACAACAACTTCCGGGGTCAGATGCGCTGCTTCGTCTCTACCGCAGATGTAGAAAATCACCGGGAGCGTTTCTCCCTTCATAAAGGAGCTTCTTTCAGACATTAGGAGAGCTGTTTTGGTGGTAGCAGTCTCTCCTCCGTGCTGGTCTGTTTGCTGGGTATATTTGGCTTATTTAAGTTTGGACTGATCTAATAACCTATATCTGTAGATCCATTTAGAACCGCACTATTACTGAATTATATTGGGACAGTATGATGGAGCTAAGACCTATTTTAGCTGAGAGCTCCCAGAGGAGCACAGAAATTAAGTACTTAACAAACGTAAACAAAATCGATTTTGGTTCTGAAGATGAACAGAATCGTCCCCGGTGCTCAAATCAGGTCGCGGGCCTTCTGAGTCAAACGGTCCAAAACATGTCTGCACCTCCGGTAGTGATTTCTGGCTTGTGGGGTTCAGAGTTCGGTTGAGCTTCTCCGGTAACCCAATATCTGTTTTTGTCGCCGTATCACATGACTAAATATTTGGTTTATCACCCACCTTTAAAAGTTGGTAATGTTTTATTAAGTTCAGATCAGTTATGAAAATCTGAAATTTGCTCACTCAGTCTGAACAAACTTAAACCATAATCATTCCCTTTTTGTGTTAATTCTGGTCCTTATCTCAGCAGCCTGTTTATTCTGTGTGTGAACCAGTTCCATTAGAGTGGGGTTCAGCCATCAGATGTTTACTTGTTTTTGTGAAGCCGTTCTGTGACTCTCACACACACTACTTAGGCAGACGTTTCTTGGATATGATCGATCTGTTAGAGCTGGTTTGACATGATTCATGCCTCCTCTGCGTTCCCATGCACTTACAGCCTAATACGTTCAAGCTGCTTTGGGGTGGGGAGGCCTGTTATAAATACAAGTAAGTGTGAGAATTCCCATCGTCTCAGTTTCTTTTAAATGTTGCAGCATACATGTAGTTAAAAATATTGTTTTAACGTGTTGCAGATCGAATCATTGGTGCTCCTGCACCACTCCAATTTTCTCATCATCTAGTGGGAACAAAAAGGTGTCTGTGTACGTGTGAGCACTGGTTGCTTTGTGGTGTATCTCTGTCCTGTATTGTGTTACTGGAGCCCCTCTTGGGAGGGAGTTTTAGAGGCCTTCGTAAAAGGCAACAGGTCGCTCTGTCACCCACAGTCCCCAGACAGCATGTCTGCCATGTGCTACAAACACACACAACGATAACAAATCAAAGACACAATCCATACTTTGAAAATTACTTTTCTAAAAGTGTTTTAATTCTGAAACTAAATACCAGTTCTAACCAAATACTGTCTCACATGGAGAAGTGATGAGTGTAAGCAGGAAGGACCCACAAAAATAAGAGGAATAGAAAGTCACAAAGAGAACCTTGTCCCTGATAAGATCACTGCTGGACAGCATTGAGCAATAGAATACATTTCTGTCCACTGTCCAGCATGCGTCTCAATCACTTACAAACAAAAAAGAAAGCAAAAGGGGATGAGAATGAACTGAGAGAGTAAACATTAGGGTTGTCACGGTAACCGGTATAGCGGTAAACCCCGGTAAAAAAGTTGACAATAAAAATAACCGTCCAGTTTTTAAAAAACGAAATAATCTCGGTGGGTTTACCGTGGCCGCGGTTTTGGCGCGGTGACCCTTACCAGCCACCGTCGCTTCAGCTGAAGTTCCCGCGGCGCGCACACGCACTGTTTAGTTTGCAACGGCACCAAAACTTTGAAGCTGAAATAATGGCCGAAGGAGGAGACGACAGCGCCTAGGATATCCATCAGCCCTCAAAGAAGACTAAATCGGAAGTATGGGGATATTTTGAATTTCTGAAAAATGCTGAGGGACAGTTAATAGAAGACTGCTATCCCGTTTGCAGAACGTGCAGGAAACAAGTGTCTGCAGAAGGCAGCAACACTTCGAATCTAATGGCACATCTGCGTGACCATCACCCACGTCTCTACAGCCAGTGCAAGGTAAGTTAACATTAGCATTTTAGCTTAAATGCATGACGTGAGGACTTTTGGTTGAGGGAGAATGCAACGAGTCACTATATACTGCAGCCGCAGCGCCCTCTGCCAGCATTTAAACCGTGTCACGGACACCCTGTTGCTGGATGAAGCATCTTATTTGTTGATGATGAAGAGAAATACACAATTAGTTCCTTGTCATTGATTTGTTTACTTATTCAATGCCATTTATACTTGAACATTTGGATTTGATTACACAGTGTAGTAGTTATTTTAGTAATTTGTTTAAAGTGGCTATTTATTTTAAATACATATTTTTTAAGGTTGACTTGTACAGCGCTCAAGTCAAGTGTGGACTGGAGTTTTAGATTTTCATTTTGATAATGAAGAAAACAAGTATATGAGAAAACAAGTGGTGTTTCTTTGATTTGTTTACATATTGTTTATGTTTTGAATGTTTGGATTTGTATAATTTAAACCTGCACTGACTACTGTAACATGTTCCAGAAAAAGAAGCTATTTGTTCCTTTACTTGTGAAAAGTTGCACTTTTGCTAAGGCTTTGTGTTGTTTTAGGTTTAATAAACACTGTTAAACTATTTCAGTTTGTGTAGAACAGGACTATCAATGCTTTCTGAACATATGCAACACCGTTTAAAAAATACCGCGATAATACCGAAAACCGCAATAATTTTGGTCACAATAACCGTGTGGTTAAATTTTCATACCGTGACAACCCTAGTAAACATACAAAAATACTTGCACGTAATTTGTGGTAATAAATGAATATGGATTTCTGTAAAATCATCCATAATAATGATAACTTTCTTCTGCTATTTTGGTCTGGGGTATACTTAATCATTTTCTTCTGACTGGCACCAGTCAACAACTTCACGTTACTTCATGCCCTTCTGCATTTGAACTTCTGCTTGTGACTACTGACCCCACTTTAACCCATTCATAGAGCCATGGTCCTGTTTTTCATTCAAGGATGTTTCATAGGGACAGCAGCTCTGGGTTCAGAACATTCTAGTGCATTTTTTGTTTCTGGGTTTTCTGCTTGTCCGGTCATACCCGCATGTTTAAACATAGAAATCCTATCAATGTACTTTATGTAGCTCAGTGTGTGTGTGTGTGTGTGTGTGTGTGTGTGTGTGTGTGTGTGTGTGTGTGTGTGTGTGTGTGTGTGTGTGTGTCATGAGTTAAATCTAGTACTAATGACAACTTCTGTCTTGAGATACTGAGTAAGAGAACAAAAACCCAATAAACATTTTAATTTAAAGCAACTGAGCCACAACTTTCTCTTTAAGCACAACCACACGTTTTGTTAATGCTCCTTCAGGGATGTGGTTCCCCACATACTGCTCTTTAGGCCATTTTATAGCTACAGCTCATCTGTTTCTTTGATGTGTGTGTGTGTGTGTGTGTGCGTGCGTGCATGCGCGCGCGTGCGTGCGTGTGTGTGTGTGTCTGTCTAGCACAGGGTCTTTTTGCCAATGCTACTCTCAGCTCAGTCCCTGGTTTTCAGATGTGGTGCATTACATCCACCTGTTTGCAACCCTTTAAAGCTCTCATTTGCAATTGTCAACATGTTCAGGACATTTTTCTGTTGTATTGTTTGTATTAAGGACTGGTTAGAAGGCTTTAGATCTTTTGTTGTTTTGGCTGTTTGATCACAGATTTTATTGAATGTTTCCGTTTTTAGATGCGCTGCAGGCTTTCTAGGAGAATACTGCCAACATAAGGACCCATGTCAGCCTGGCTACTGCCTAAATGGGGGGAACTGCTCTGTGTCCATGTCAGCTGGTGTCCCTGTACCTGGTAGTGCCACCTGCACCTGTCCTCTCGGCTACACTGGACAACATTGCCAAACTCCTCAGAACTCCACGTGCTACCCAAACAACCCCTGTGCCAACAGAGGTGTCTGCACCTTGCTGTCCCTTGACAAGTACAGGTGTGAGTGCACCAAAGGATGGACAGGTGAGATGGTGTTCAATATTGATTTAGAATTATCATTTGAAATGCCTGATGTATTTGACTCCTCTCAAATGCACACTTTTATTCACAAGGTCTTTCTCTGATTGCTTGCACTGAATTCCTATTAGCTATTTCATCTCTACAACATGCAACCCTTAACAAATGTTCTTATATCTCTTCTGTTAGTATTTTCATCACGAGTAATAGGACTGCAACAAACGATTTTTAGATCATCGTTGAATCGGATGGGGTCTGAACTGGATTAATCAGATTAAACGGGAACATTTACAAACTGCTATGGAAACATTTTTCTTTCCTTCCTTTAACAACAAAACATGATTAGAAAATAGTAGCATGCAGACAACATGCTATCACCTAAATATATCCATAACTTAACTGTGATCAGTCAAACTTTATGTATTTCATTAACACATTCAGTAGTAAGCTACTGGAAATGCTAATAACATTTAATTTCTACTGCCAAATATGCAATGGTGACGTATCTATTATGTACGGGTTAGCAATAATCCAAGTTAGATTGGACACGTTTGTGAATACATGCAACAGTGGCCTGCCATACTCCTGCAGCAGTGTAGAGCATAATATAAAAAAAAATAATAAAGGACAAACCCAGTAACATAATATGGAAATTATTTTTCATGTTGCATGCTAGTTCTCTGCAAGCATCAAAGTCCTTTTCATTCACAGATTCTCTTTTTTGAAATCTACTTGGAACTGCTGAAGCTTTTTGTTTCATTCTTTGTCCTGTGTATTTCCAGGTCAACGCTGTGAGCACGAGGACAGTTGTCTCTCCAGTCCTTGTGCCAACGGAGGAAGGTGTAGTTCACAGCCTGGTGGCAGCTACACCTGTTCCTGTCCTCCTGGCTACAAAGGTCCCCGCTGCCTTAATGACACAGATGAATGTGCAGACACACCCTCTCCATGCCAGAATGAAGGTGTATGTGTCAACACCCCAGGCTTCTACAGGTGAGTTTAACAGTGAGCAAATGTGAACAATGCTGCAACTTTAAAGGAGTCATCACCTGAAAGTTTCACTTTTCCACTTGAATAAAGTGTGTATATAGTGGCTTCCTAATGAAGAATGACCTGACTTGATTAACATTGGATCATTTTTTAACTCTTGGCTTTCCCAACCAGCCCACGAGCATGCGCACTCCAAAACGAGATCTTGAATTTTGGCCTTGCTGTCGTCACAAAGGCAGGATGTACAGTACCATATATGGACAGCGCAGAGCAACGCCGATATAGCCCGCACTGCTCCGCTTCCAGAAAAGACGTTATTTCAGCTTTTATTTTGGAACTAGTTGTCAATGGAAATGTAGTAGTAATAGTTCGTATTTTAAAATATCAAACTTTTATTAGACTAACATAATTTCAGCTGTCATTAAGCATTGAAATGTTTGCTGGGACTTAACACCATTTTTGTTGATAAAAATATTTTTAGTTTAAAATGTGTCAAAGGTATAGCTCAACTAGTAAGACACCTGACTTACACGCAGAGGACCTGGGTTCAATCCAGAGATACCAGATTGTTGTTTGGAGTTTTTATTTTATAATAATGATTTTTTTTACAGTAATAAGACGCCCAAATTTTTATTTTTAAATGTCCAAATGAGACGCGCCGAAAGACGTTGGTTCAACTTTCATTTTGGAACTATAGTTCAACCGTGACGGGATGCATCATTTGGAATTGGAGTACGTCCAAGGAAGTTTCAGTCTTTCACGCCGCTGATTATTATATTGTTAAGTTTACAGTTTCTTTACAAAACAGCTTACTGTTGGTGGTGGTGGCAGGAGATCAGTGCACTTAGCAAGGGAAGACACCGTTTTGCTGCTAAATCAAATAATCAATTGTAATAGAGCCCTTCTAGCCAATCAGAGCAAGAGAGAAAAGGATATTCCTTGGACATCCTACGATTCCAAATGACGCACACGGCACAGCCGAAATATCACGTGTGCTCTCGCGAGAAAACATGTCCTTTACAAGAAAGGGTCAGAAAAGCACTTTATAATTTATTTTTCCAATTCAAATAATTGTTATGGCCTAAAAGACTATAATATAATGTAGATATCCATGGTAGTAACAGGTGACTCCTTTAAATACATAGTTTCTAAAACATTTAATGAAATGATCTCTGCTACTTCTGCAGGTGTATCTGTAAACCCGGGTTTACTGGCTTACAGTGTGAAAGCTCATACATCCCTTGCTCACCTTCTCCATGTCTAAACGGAGGCACCTGCCACCAGACCTCTGAAACCACCTACTCGTGCCACTGCCTTCAAGGTAGGATGATGAAATTCAACAAGTACCCTGCTGTAGTTTTTACACCCCACAAAACATCTGCAGTAAAATAACAGATAGACGTAGACACAGGTGGAGGAACAAAAACAAAATAACAAAGATAGTAATACTGTTGCTGGTATTTATGCTAACGTGAAAGTAGTTTCTGAAGTTTAGAAATGTTGCAATATGTTGTTTCAAGTACAAACAGTTTAAAGCTGCTGGCAGTGTTGTCGTTTGCTACATGTGGACACAAAAAAATACAAACTGTATATTACACCTGGACATCCTGCTGTACTTCATCATTATTCATCTTCTCTAGTTGGATTATCAGAAATGATACAATTAGGACAGAGTAGGGCTGCTCGATTATGGCAAAAAATAATAATCACGATTATTATGACTGAAATTGAGATCTCGATTATTTAGGACGATTTTTCTATTTATGTTGATTTTATTTGTTTTTATTCAGTCATAAAATTGCTCAGGGCACAATCAGGACAAAAATAAATAAGAAACAAAATGATCACTAAAATAACTCCTGATTACCAGTATAAAAAGACCAATACACTTATAGCTCATAATCTATGACCCAAAGGCTATAGACCTTGGTTTAACTCATTTAAGTCTAACCAGTACAGACCCAAATACCAATATCTTGCAAATACTGACAGCAAGAATTATACAGTGGCATTTATAACAAATGAATGGAAATAAATTGATGTTCACAAAATGTTGCATAACATTTATTTAGTCGTGCCAAGGTGCTGTAGGAGCATGCACTAGCGCCGTGTCCTCAGAGAGATTAGTTATTATTTATCAGTGTGAGGAACTTATTTCTACCTTATCTATAAACTATTTATTTACAAGTCCATCAGTTAATGTAATAATTGTCCCAACCACAGCTGCACCCCCCACTCCCCAACCCGGGCTTACAGCAATCGGGGCAAGCTGCACGTGTGTTTCCGTAGTTTAGCACGCTGCACGTGTGTTTCCGTAGTTTAGCACGCTGCACGTGCACATTTAGCCGTTTTTAGTGGCTCAGGAGTCCGCAGGTACGGTGTGTGTCACTCACTCTGGTTAATCCAACAGGGAGCCAGCTCTGAGAGCTGTCTTAAGCGACTGACACATCACTACATCATTCCCTTTCCTAATGTTGTGAAGAACGGTCCGGAGCGCAGGCAGAGTGTTTAGCTAACCTGCAGGAAATGTCAACAACAGTTAACCAGAAAGTAGCTAAGGGTTACCAGAGATGTTTCTGAGGTGTTCACTAGGTACTTTTAAGATTTAAAAAATCAAGAAGAGGGTCTGAGAAGCTGTTAGAAATAGCGTCAAAGTCGCCAAGTTGGCAACACTGTGGAGGAGCGCTTCATTTGCAACTCAGGGCAGCGCAAGTGAGAGGAGCAAATAATCGGCTTGTTTTTTTTTTTTTTATAATCGTTCAAAACTCAGATCATAATCGTGATTAAAATTCGATTAATTGAGCAGCCCTAGGACAGAGCATAATGAAAGTTATCTGTTTTGTTTACACCAGGTTTTAATGGAACAAACTGCGAGAACAACATTGATGACTGTCCTAATCATCATTGTGCCAATGGGGGAACCTGTATTGATGGGGTCAATACCTACAACTGTCAGTGTCCTCCAGAGTGGACCGGTTAGTGGTGTTTTTGTGTGATTTTATAATCATCTTTTTTACACTTATTTAACCCTGATACAGTTTATAAATTATCCAGTGTTAATCTTTGAATGGAGGTAATTTACAACATGTTACTACTGCATTTGAAAAAAATAAATAAAAACTGAGGAATTTCACATATTTATTTTATTTTAGATTTCTGGTTATACTAAATATTGTGTAAATAGACACATTTATCTCGTGTGTGGTCCTACTGTGTGTAATGTTCTGATACTCTTGTGATTTTTATTCTTTTCCTCCAAGCCTTTGAAGTTCATCCGCCACACGAGGCGTGTCTCTGCTTGTGTTTACCAAGCAAACACACACGAATTAGCTTTATTGAATTCTGTTTATACACACCAGTTCAACTAGTGCAAATTAACCTAATGTGATGAAAAAAACACATTTTTAAAACTGGGCAGGTACTAAAATATGAATACTTGAATTTCCCATTTTCAGTTATTGCTAAGAGAAATCTGTTTGAAAGTGGGATCGGTTTTATTATTAATTTTTTACCTGTACTTTGGTTACCTAAACTGATGTTACTTAGTACTTGGAGCGTTAACTCTTCATCTTCATTTTTTTTTGTTTCTTTTCCACAGGTCAGCACTGCACAGAGGATGTGGACGAGTGCCGGCTGCAGCCAAATACTTGCCAGAATGGCGGCACATGTAGTAACCTGGTTGGCAGCTATGTCTGTGTGTGTGTTAATGGTTGGAGTGGACCTGACTGCTCTCAAAACATCGATGACTGTGCCACTGCCGCGTGCAGCGCAGGCTCTACTTGCATCGATCGCGTGGCATCATTTATTTGCCACTGTCCCCCCGGAAAAACAGGTGGGGTCTAACGAGAAACCAAAAACACTCAAAAGGTTTGAGACTAACTGCAGGTCAAGAATAACTAGAACCAAATGAAAAGAAAAAAAAATGTTCTTTGAAGTTTAACTACTTTAAAGGCACACTTGGTAGTTTTTAACTCTGTTTCAACACTCCTGATTTCAGTTGGTAGGTAATTAACAGGCTTCTGCAGAGCCTGATGAGCTGCTGCGCAGGTCATTCAACTAGAGGCCAACCAATATGGTTTCTTTTAAGGCTGATGCAGATACCGATTTTTTTTTAAAGAATTTAGTTACAGATGGCCGATATCTAAAGCTGATTATTAGGCTGATATATATATACACACACACACACACACACACACACGTGTTTTAGCAGCACATTGATTGTGAAAGACAACTGAACACTCACTTTGTGCAATATAAACTCCATAAGTCAATCAAACTCTTAATAATTATTGAACTTCAAATATAAGACAAACTCAAAACATTTTAAAAAAAAACTGTATTGGGGTCCTTTCTTCAGTCTAGTAGTGGTGGCAGTTGGCCACACAGGTGCCTGATATAAATATATATATATTTTTTATTTTTATTTTGTAGATATCTGTTTTAAAAATGATATCGGCTGACCTCTATATTCAGCCACTGAATCAAGTGTGTTGAAGCAGAGGAACCACTAAAACGTGCTGGATACCAGCCCTCCTGGCGCAGAATTGAGTACCCCTGCTGTAAAGGGTCATTTCAGCACATGCTGGCTCAAGAAAATGATTTAAAAATATGAAAAAGTTGCGTAGTATGGCTTTAAGTTTTGTAACAGAAGTGAAACAAAAATGTGTTTGCTCTACTAGATCACCTGAAAACTGATCTTTTTCAAATGTTTTTTTTTTCTTAAACATGCTTGCCTGATATAGATATATGGAGTAAGAACACATTAATTAGTGTTTTCAAACATTTGATTATGTTTAGATTTGGATCAGACCTCACCTGAAAGATAATCCTTGCAAATTTGCATTAAGTTTGTATGCGTCATCTTGCTCTAGATGTTCTCTGAGAGAGCTCAAGCAGGAGTTAAATCGATAGCATTCGTTTTGTTGTGATTGCTTATTCATAATTATTTTATTCGCTGAAACCTTCTACTGATTTATTTACTGCGGCGTTTTCTCAGGTTTGCTGTGTCACAGGGATGACGCCTGTATCAGTAACCCCTGTAGAGAGGGCTCACATTGTGACACCAACCCCGTCACTGGGATGTTCAACTGTAACTGTCCACCTGGATACATAGGCAGCACTTGCAACATTGACAGAAATGAGTGCAACATGGGTGAGCTACAGTCCTAAATATTATTGATCTGCTGCTCCTCTTTTTTTATTAATCTTTTCCCGTCTTTATACTCAGGGTCTAACCCCTGCGAGCACAGCGGTACCTGTGTGAACACCGACGGGTCTTTCACATGTAACTGTGTCAGGGGTTACACTGGGCCTCGATGTGAACAAGATGTCTTTGAATGTGGTTCAAACCCCTGTCAGAACGATGGCACATGTCTGGATCGCATTGGAGAGTACACCTGTATTTGCATGCCTGGTAAGAACACATCTAAAAATGGTCTTTTTGTGTGAGTGTGTGTGCGTGCGTTTCTTTTCCAGACACAACCACTTTTATTTTTACTTAAGAATCCTTCAGGCGACATGAATCTGCCAAAATTAGACTATCCTCTGATTTATTTTAATAACAATTCTTCAATCTTATCAGAAATATTATGAGTGTTGAAAGCTTATATCATGTGTTTGGTGCCTGAAGCAGGTTTATACAATAGTCTTTTGTTTAGTTCATTGAGAGTTGAATACACACAGACTTGACCGTGTTTCTCTCTCCATGTTCTTATAGGATTTGAAGGAACTCACTGTGAGATAGAAGTGAACGAGTGTATGAGCTCCCCCTGTCTGAATCAGGGTAATTGTGTTGATCAAGTCAGCCGGTTTGTTTGCGAGTGCCCAGCAGGTAAATACATCTCAACTGATTTTAAATAATTGGTATGAGACATCTTTTTAAATGGGTCTGATTGGTAGATTACTGTATTCAGCATGTTGCTCTGTGGAATGTCCTCAGGTTTCAGCGGTGAAATGTGCCAAATAGACATAGATGAATGTTCCAGCACACCCTGCTTAAATGGAGCCAAGTGTATCGACCGACCCAACGGATATGACTGCGAATGCGCTGAAGGTGAAGGGAGATCACATCATGTTTAGTTTGATGTAAAACACAACTTGTACTTTACTTTACTTTAACGACAAGTTCCTCCTCCTCCTCCACTAGGTTTTACTGGTCTGCTTTGTGAGGAGAACATCAATGACTGCAATCCCCCGCCATGCCATCATGGCGTGTGTAAGGATGGCATTGCCACCTTCTCCTGTGAGTGCAGCCCTGGATACACTGGCTCCATCTGTAATCTTCCGGTTCAAGAGTGCCTCAGCAATCCCTGTCAGAACAGAGGTCGCTGTGTTGATCGGGTTAATGCTTACCAGTGCAACTGTCAACCAGGAACATCGGGTAAGTGCTCCATGCGTTAAAAAAGTTACCATAAAGCTTTTTCTTATGAAATAATGATCCTTACTAATCCTTTAAAGAACATTAGTCCTTCATTAATTGTGGCACCAGTGATTAATTTCTTCATCTTTTTTTTGTTTGTTTTGTAAAATAATGAACTTATGATAGTATATAAGGTGAAACCTTGAAACGCCAATAACTCAGGTGACAGTGTCATGGTCACTGTTGAACAAATAAAAGAAATCACCAGAACAGATAAAGCAGTCTCTGATTTTCCTGACGCAAAACTGATACAGGACTGCTTTGGTTGTGGCTCCTATTTGCTTTTTCCCTTTACTTTATCTTAAGTATGAGTGTGGTTTATAGATTCACTGTGGAAAAAAAAGAAAAATCACAGCATCTCTAAAAATTAACCAGTTAACCGCAACCGGCGTCTGCTCTTTTCTGTATCTTGCAAAAATACAAATAAATAGGATTTTTAGAGCTTCCCGTGGAATTTTTAAGGTATTTGAAGGTCTAGAGTTCTCTATATGTGTGTAGTAGTTACAAGCCTGTGGTGTGAGTGGTGCCTCCCCATGATTCGGGTGGGATTATTGAGCTCCGTTATTATTATTGAGCTCAGTCCCATTCTGTCTCGCTCTGAACTTGAGACAGTTATCCACACCTTCATCTCCTCAAACTTAGACTACTGTAACTCTCTTTTCACGTGTCTGAGCAGAACATCCCTGAACCGTCTACAGGTGGTTCAGAATGCCTGTGCTCGGCTTCTGACCAAGTCCTCCAAACACACCCACATCACCCCGCTTCTCCTCCAGCTTCACTGGCTGCCAGTCAACATCAGGGTTCATTTCAAGATCCTGGTTCTGGTCTATAGGGCCTTACATGGACAAGCACCATCTTACATTGGTGATCTTCTCAGTCCCTACACCCCCAGCAAGTCCCTGAGGTCCAGTGATCAAAGCCTACTGGTTGTGCAGCGCACCAGGCTAAAGACCAAAGGTGACAGATCATCTGCTGCTGTGGCCCCCAGACTCTGGACCTCTCTCCCCCTGAGCCTGAGATCAGTGGACCCAGTGGACTCCTTCAAAAAGCAGCTGAAGACTCACTTGTTCAGGCTGGCTTTTGTATGACCTTCTTCACCTCTCTCTCTTTATTCTGCTCTCCCCACCTATTCCACCTTCCTCAGGGATTTCCCTCTTTCCTGTTCACTCTCTCTCTTTCTTAACATTTTTTCTTTTAAATCGCAATTGCTTATTCTTGCTCATTTTAAATATATTTTTAAACATTTTCGAAATGCTTTTTTATATTTTTACAATTTTTATATTTTTTGTTTTTGTTTTTGTGAAGCGCCTCGTGATTTTTATCTTGAGAGGCGCTATAGAAATGATATTTTCTTCTTCTTCTTCTTCTTCTTCTTCTTCTTCTTCTCAGTTCAGTGTGTTTTGTACCATCATCTGGCCTGGTTCTGGAGTCTGTAATGTTCTTATTTTTTAAGCCTCAAGTCAGGTCATTCTGTCCTCTCGCACAATTCATCTTTAATAATAGTCCCTATGTTGATCACTGACGTGGCATTCCTGTGTGGAGTTGAAGGTCTCCCCCAAGTTTTGTTCCAATTTGTAACTTCTTGCTGCCTACTTTTTACCTGGACTGCCACTCCCCCTGGTGGTAATTAGTTACATTTTCAGTCGATTACAGGTTCTGTCTGTAATGCAACTCTTTGTTTCAGAGGATCAAAATCAAGTTTATTTTTGTTGTTCTTTTCAAAATTCTGCAAACGTAACAAGATAACCCTACGTTTGTTCCTCTCTGACCGTATATTTACTCTCTTCAGGTGTGAACTGTGAGGTTAATGAGAATGACTGTGCCAGCAACCCCTGTGAGTACGGAGAATGCCAAGATGGCATCAATGAATACAAATGTGTGTGTACCCCTGGATATACAGGTATGTTTTTGCACAATTCTTCAGTACAATCAGCAATAATGAAACCAAATGATTCTGATACTCATTATCTTTCAAATCACTTTTAACAGGAGACAGATGTGATGTTGAGATCAACGAGTGTTCCTCCAACCCGTGCATGAGTGGAGGGACCTGCGTCGACAAGGTGAATGGGTTCCATTGTCTGTGCCCACCCAGCACCCACGGCCCATTTTGCCTATCTGGGATCGATCACTGTGTTTCTCAGCCTTGTGTGCGTGGAAAATGTATTGAACAACAACATGGGTAAACTAACTTCTCTAAGATGTGTAATATGTTCTGTTTGTTCGTATTTAGTACAATTGGACTGACAAAGGCCACCTTACTATGAAAGGGTCATTCGGGTATAGGGATTCACCCATAACAGATATACGTACTTTTCAGATACTTTCTTTTAAGTATGTGCCAATACTTATAAATGTCATTAAAATCCTTGCAAATAATTAGAAATTGTTTAATTTTCATAGGAAACTTGTGGAAAAAATGCTCACTTTTTTAGTATATTATGTTTTTATCGAACTTCCCTCTTATAGAGCTTTTATAGAGCTAGCAGAATCGCTCTCAGAGGAATGTCTTACACACGACTGAAGCACATTCATCACAGTTTCAGCACACCCACATAAACAAAGTCCATCTGGGTCTTTACCAGTTCATTTTAAAATGTCCTCAAGCCCACAATGGCCCAGCCTTAATCTGGTTCTTGTATTTTATGTGGCTTGGATTTATGCAGTTTACTCGGCTGGGATAGTTTCCCATTTGACCCTCTGTACGTTATGTCACGCTACTCATGGGAACGCCTCTTTTGTTATGATGGACCTGAAAAGAAGTGTTTACATCCATTAAGCTGGTCAAAAAAACAAGCTGGTCTGTATCTTTATATCGCTTTTATGTTGTTAGTTTAGCCAAAGATTGTAGTTGCAGTTGGTTGCACTAACAGACAAGGGCGGACAGCAGCTGTCAATCAAACGAACTAGCAGCCCTCAAAGTATTTGTGAATTTGCAGCAAACACTTTTACCAGGTAAGATTAATTTGTGTAAACTGTTATTACTGAGCACGATGAGCTTCAATGTAATAAAATATCTGTCTCCCCTCTACCCTGGTGTGAGTAGCAGCTGAACCCGGTGACCCAGCCAGTGACACAACACCGGCACTTTTTAGGCTTTTTAAATCAGGTCCAGTGTTAAATGAACGCCGTTTATCACATAATGTTATAAATCCACCGGGGCAATTCTAGCCAAGTCAGCAACTTGATCAGATTTGAAGATAAGTTAACGTTCATAAGCTAGCTAACACTAAACTGTAAATACTGCTCCCTATGAGCCCCACCGAGGTGTGGTACATCTTCTGACAAGTGAACTGGGCTTGAGTTAGTAAAAGCCGAGCTAAACTGGCAAATATATATCTCATTTACGACTGTTGCTGTCCGTACAGAATTTCTGTAACGTCCACCGCGGCAGACCCATGTGATCAGTTGTGGTTGTGTAGTATCAAAGGAGTTTTTAAGAGTACAAGTGCAAAGAAACTTGCACAGTGTCAGGCCAGTACCGATGCTGGTATCAGTTTCTGTGCATCCCTACTTTAAACATGCATTAATTTACAAATTTTGTGTTTTTGAGTATTAAACTGTAGATTCAGTTACATCTTTCACATACTTAATCAAAATAATTGTTTATGTGCAGAACCCACCTTTAATAATAAAAATTTGATTGTCTTCTGACGCTATTTCTATGAAGGTACCAATGCGTGTGTGATGCTGGTTGGGTGGGACCTCACTGTGACCAAGAAAAAGACGAGTGCCAGCCAAATCCGTGCCTAAATGGTGGCGGCTGTCTGGACCGATACAACGGCTACACCTGTCAGTGCAAACCAGGGTTCAGAGGTAAAACCTGCACTATAATCTCAGGAGCTGACTTTAAACAAGCGTGTTACGGTTCAGTGTCGTGTATGAACGGAGTATCCATGCTTCCAGTAGACAGTTCAGTCATTTGCTAATGAGATTTTAGGTGAGTCTTATATTTTGTTTTTGAAGTGGTTGTTAATCATCTGGAGACAGAAAACACTCCCCTTAACAATAGATTTGTATGTCACAACTCATCATCTCTCTCTCAAAAGGTGTCAACTGTGAAAAGAACATTGATGAATGTGCATCTGGACCCTGTCAGAACCACGGTGTTTGTAAAGACGGGATCAATAGCTACACATGCCAGTGTAGTTCACCATTTACAGGTTGGTGAGATTACGTCATCACCACTGCATCATAGCAGCTCGTGACAGGCTTTATCACAACACCAGCTTGTCAGTGCATTAAAGAGTTGTTTATACATTGTACAATTTTATTAATGATGTAAAATAAAATGTCAAAATAGGTAAACACTGCGAGGTAGAACAAGATCCCTGTGCTTCTCATCCATGCGAGAGAGGAGGAGTTTGTCTTCCATCTCCAGATTACACCTCTTACACCTGCAAATGCCCACCTGGATGGCAGGGTATGTGTGTGGGAGGTGTACTTGATGTTTTTTGTAGTTCAGATTGATTTATTCTTTACTAACAGAAATATTCGTTCACAAAGGTGCACGCTGCAACGAGGATGTAAATGAATGCGTGAGGACTCCTTGCAAAAATGGCGGTCACTGCAAGAACACTCAAGGAAGCTACATATGTAAATGTCAGCTTGGATACAGTGGACACAACTGTCAGACGGACATAGACGACTGCTCACCAAGTGAGTTTTATCCTAGTTGGTTATCTGATTTTCTTTTTTTCGTACGTTATTGTTACTTCCACCTTGTTCTACATATTAATGCACAAGATGGAAAGAAAATTAATTTTCACAAGTGCATGGGTAAACAAAAATAAAAACATAGAATATGACATGAAGCAATTTTTTCTCTTTATCTGCCCTCCTTAGATCCATGCCTGAATGGAGGCTTATGTGTGGACAACGTAGCCAATTTCTCCTGCGACTGTCGGGCGGGTTTTGAAGGAGAGCGCTGTGGGATCGAGGTGGATGAATGCGCCAGCCAGCCCTGCAGGAATGGGGGCACCTGCCATGACTACGTCAACAGCTTTGTTTGTAGGTGCCGACCAGGATTCAATGGGATCCAGTGTGAGAACAACATCCGGGAATGTACTGAGAGGTGAGCCGCTGAGTCAGCACATGACCTGTGTTGTCCTACACCGTTTATTTTGTCCCGCATAATGATTATTCCTGCAACAGACATGACTGTGTGATGGAGAGAGCAGGATTTTAATGACAAAAGTTTTTTTATAATGTGTGAGTTGCGGGGAATCATGCGTTCAAAGTGAGCTTCTAAAGTTGAATGAATAATTTTTAGCAAAAAAACTCACTTCTTTCTTGTCTTGTTTCTTTCCAGGTCATGTCTCAATAACGGGACTTGCATTGATGGCATTAACACCTTCTTCTGTCGTTGCCGTGATGGTTTTTATGGTCATTTTTGTGAGTACGAGCATAACGAATGTGACTCTCAGCCCTGTAAGAATGGAGGCACCTGCACAGACGGCCTGGGTACTTACCGCTGCTCCTGTCCTGTTGGGTTCAATGGGCAGAACTGTCAGGTAAACAATTCTTGTTACTGTTAATTGGTAGCTTCTTTAATAGGTTCTTAGGTGTGACAGTTATTTGATCATCTGGTAGTGCTGGGTTTCGACTTTGATGACTGGCGTGACAAATGATTATTCTGCACACATTATTTAAATACACCCATGTAACACTAGAAGGGGGTTGAGAATGAATGGAGTGCTATATTAATGGTTGTTGACTGGTCACTTTATTAGATTTGGGGATACATTCACTTACAGAAATTCTTTTTTTTAGAGTCATGTTACATTTTTGCTTTTATATTAATCTGGCTGGACAATTGGCAAATCTTTTGTAGCAGGTCCAGCAGTGTGAGCTTGTTTGTTAATGAAAGATAAAAAATGCCTACATTTGCAAAACATCTGCATAATGTTTTAACCCAACACATAATATCTTTGTTTGCAGAACTACGTGGACCTGTGCAGCCAAATAAAGTGTAAAAATGATGGTTCCTGCTCTCAGATAGCTACATCCTGGACCTGCCATTGCCAGATAGGATGGGCAGGCCTTTACTGTGATGTCCCTAACATGTCCTGTGAGGACTTTGCTGCCAGAAGCGGTGAGAGAATGTTTGATTTGAGTGCTTTGACTGCAAAAGTCTGTTTTCCTTCTTAAATTTGACATGCCTTGTTTCAATTCAGGCTTGGAAGTGAAAAATGTGTGTAAGAATGCAGGGCGATGCGTGAGCGTAGGGAATTCACATAAGTGTGAGTGCCAGCCAGGTTACACTGGCAGCTACTGTGAAGAGATGGTGGACGAGTGCCAGTCCAACCCATGTCGTAATGGAGCAACCTGCAAGGATTATCAGGGCACATATGAGTGTATAGTAAGTTTATTCCCTCGTTTCTGTGTTTCTGAAAGTAGGGTCATGAGTGAATATTTAGGTGTTTTATTTTTAGATAAAAACTCGATTTTGTTTACTTGCTTCAGTGTAAACCTGGTTTCCAAGGGGTGAACTGTGAGTACGATGTGGATGAATGCCACTCTAGGCCGTGCCTCAACAGAGGAACATGCATCAACCTCATCAACCACTTCACCTGCATCTGCCCACCTGGAACACATGGTAAGTCTGCATCACTGAGTCTGAAACCTGATGTAGAGTTTTTGTTTTATTTTTTCTTGTTTCTTCTTTGGCCAAGAAAGACAAGTTAGATGTTACAGTGGAACACTAACGTCCTCCTTAATTTGGGTTTGCTGCTTCAAGGTTTTGTTTTATGTGATAAAAATTTAACACATGATATCTAACATTCTTGTTAACGCAGCTGAAGATGAAGAGTGCATCAACTGCTCTATTGAACAAAGTCCCTCACCTCCTGTGATATATATCTAATGAACTTTACGTGTTCACCTTCTTGTAGGAGTCCAGTGTGAGATGAATGATGATGACTGTGCCCCCAGCGCCGGTTCTTCTGAGCCACGTTGTCGTAACGGAGGGCAGTGTATCGATGGCGTGGGCGGTTACACGTGCTCCTGTCCTGCAGGATTCGTTGGAGAACACTGTGAGGGAGATCTGAACGAATGTCTGTCTGGTCCCTGCAATTCTCTCGGCAGCCTCGACTGCATTGAGCTGGACAATAATTATCGGTGCCACTGTCGCCTCGGATTCACAGGTACGCATATTTATCAGCTCAAAGGTGCCAAATTCACAAGGAAGAGGTTTTGATATTTCTAAGAAATAGAAGTGGAATGCTAGCCGTCTTTTCTAAAACGTTTCAGTATATTGTTTTTATTTTATTTGAATTTTTTCTGAATTTAAACTGGCCATTTGTGTTTTCGTATACAATTTAATCTCTGGTATGTTTCTGTTTCCCCTTGTTATGTTAGGTCGTCACTGTGAATCCATGGTGGACCTGTGTGTGTCGAAGCCGTGTCGTAATGGAGGAGTCTGCTCTATGAACTCCAGCTCAATGCATGGCTACACCTGTTTCTGTCCTCCTGTGAGTTCTCTCTTTTTGTCAGCTGTTTTTAAGCATCAAATAGCATTTTTTATTTTGGACAAAATAAACACTGCAGGAAACAGTATTTTTTTATTTAAACAAGGCACCTTTTACCTTGAACCAAACAAAATTTAAAAGGATCAAAGACCTGCACTTGCATAGTTCCTGTCTAGGGTTGTCACGGTAACCGGTGTAGCGGTAAACCCCGGTAAAAAAGTTGACAATAATAATAACCGTCTTGTTTTAAAAAAATATATATTATCTCGGTGGATTACCGTGGCTGCGGTGTAGGCGCGGTGACCCTTACCAGCCACCGTATCACCTGCTGAATGAAGTTGCCGGCGTCACATGCGCACTTTGTTGTTTACAACCAAAACTTTCTTGAAGCTAAAGCTGAAATAATGGCCAAAGGAGGAGACGGCAGCGCTCAGGACATTTTTTATCCCTCAAAGAAGACAAAGTGGGAAGTACGGGCATCTTTTGGATATTTGAAGAATGCTGAGGGACAGTTGATAGAAGACGGCTATCCTGTTTGCAGCACGTGCAGAAAAAGTGTCTCTGAGCAACGCTTCAAATCTCATGACACATCTGCATGACCATCACCCACAAGTCTACGATCAACGCAAGGCAAGCTAACGTTAGCGTTTTAGCTAAAATGCGTGATCCGAGGATTTGGGTTGAGGGAGAATGCAACGAGTCGCTATATAAAGCAGCCGCAGCGCCGCTACCTGCATATAAACCGTGTCGCGGACACCCCCATGTTGGAATGACGCTATGCATTACGGGGCTCCCAGAGGCAGATAAGAGTTGGTCTCTTTCCGAGAATAATTATGAATTTATGACATTTTCCCAAATCTGCAAAGCTCACTGGAAGGACACAAACTGAGGACAATATTTTCCTGATACAGGGTTTATTACTCAAGTAAGGGTAAAAAAAAGTATCTGATTAGAAGGCTACTTGAGTACTGAGTATCATCTGATCTAATATTTTTAAATGATGACATCAAACAGACATAAAATAAGAAGTTATGGGCAAATATTGGTATTTTAAAGACTAAAGGGAAAAAATGTAAACAAATAAACAACATAATTACAAAATAACACATTTTAGGCAAAATCTAGACACAAACTGAGGACAATATTTCCTGACATACAGGGTTTATTTAATTGTGTGAAAATGTAGCAGGTTTAAAAAAAATACCGCGATAATACCGAAAACCGTGGTAATTTTGGTCACAATAACCGTGAGATTAAATTTTCACACCGTGACAACCCTACTCCTGTCTGAGTCAGAGGAATCCAAAGCACGTTACACTACATTCATTCACCTTTTCACACACTGATGATGATGAGTTTTCAAACTTTGAAAATGTCAATAGAAAACCCAAAAGTGTTGCTCAGATTGAAGTTACACATCTCCACTATCTTCTGGTGTAAAATAGTAACTTTGCTGCTGTAGCTCGTTAAACACATTATTGCAACTTTGGTGCTTAAAGAGTTAATTTTACAGTCCTCAGCAGATCTTTTTATTATAAGCCAGTACGTTTGTAATTATAATTTTTATTCATAATTTATCATTTTTTATGTACTTTAGTGGGGTCAAGTGAAACATTTGATTTAGAGTTTTAATTCATATTGTGCATTGTTGTTATGTCAGTGCTAAATGAATATTTTCATGTTTTTGTAATTTATTTATTGCAATGCCTTGATTTTAGTGAGGTTAGTACACATGTAGCCGTAAACGATGTAGTTCTAATTAGAGTTGAGCCGGTATGGATAAAGCATTTTTGACGAGTACGAGCATAAAATGAGTAAAACCCCCGACACGCTGGCGCACGGTTCGAGTTGATGGTTTTAAACATGAGCCACTGATCCAAGTTGTGTGTTTATTTAAGAAAACTTTATAGAAGTCGCACTAATAAGCGGCCATGGAGCCTAGCTCTGGTGTGAGTTAACGTGATGTGTAGCTCCTGTCTAATGGGGACGGCGGGCGTAATAGTACCTGACTGGGGAAATTCTCGGTGGGCCGGTCTGGTCGGTGTTTTTAGCTGTCTTTTTGTTTTTTTTGGGCCAGTGTTAACTCATGGCACACTAATGATCACCTGCTGCTGATGAGAGGATTTTTCCTGTCCGTGTACAAGGAAAATGTGAGCTGCAGCCAATAAGCGTTTGTTAGAAACACTTTCTAAGCCCAGACTGTAGTGACCTGTTATTTATAATTTTATAATTAATATTAACTGGATGCACTGAACCCACAGGTGATGGAAAATAAGATTTAATAAGCCTTTTTGTGATTTTCTTTTCATGTTGATTTGTTGTTTTTATATCCTGTTTGAGAAAAAGAAATCCAATCGAATAAAAAAACGTGTTTTGCTGAAGATGCAAAATGCTGTCCTGTCACTGGTAGCTTTTTTTTTTCTCACTAAATGCTTGTTTTCTCTCCCATTAACATCTTGTTACCTCTGTATTTTCATGCTTGCTTTAGAGGGCTTCTCCTTGGCTCAGGTACAGTAGAATCAGATTTGTGGGACTTAATAGATGTGCTCTTTGGTAACTAGTTTGTTTGAAAACCTGCAGGTTCACACAAACTCTGTAAAAATAGCAAAACCTTTTAAATGACTAAAGGATGTTGTCATATTTTACAGGGCTTTACTGGATTCAGCTGTAGTGAGGTAGAAGGTTACAACTGTGCTGAACTACGATGCCAGAATGGTGGGCACTGTGTGAAGCCAAACACCGGTCCCCTGTACTGCCAGTGCAAGCCAGGCTTCAGCGGGCCACGCTGTGAGACTCATCAGAGGTGCTCTGTGCCATGCCAAAATGGAGGAATCTGTTTCAAAAACCCATCCAACCCATTCCAGCACAGCTGCCGCTGTCCCGAAAACTTCTATGGCCCATACTGTGAAATTAAAATTCCCGCGGCAAAACCCCCTACTACGGCAAAACCCACTCCTACGGCAATACCCACTCCTACCTGCCCCTATGTGCAGTGTGCGAACCTATCAGGGGATAAAGTGTGTGATGCACTGTGCAACAATCATGAATGCCAGTGGGATGAAGGAGACTGCTCTCTCAACTGGCGACAGCCTTGGATGAACTGCACCACCACTGCAGTGTCCTGCTGGGATCTCTTTGAGAATGGACAATGTGATAAGGAGTGTGACAACCCCGGCTGCCTCTTTGACGGCTTTGAATGCCGGGATAGGCAGATCAGCCCCTGCAAGTATGTCACACTGCTACAAAGTCTGTATAATACTGTAACAGCACTGACAAAGTACCACAATGAATCAACACAATTAAAAATCACCATTTTTATGTGCTGTGTGTTTGGTAAGGTATGACAAGTACTGCAAGGACCACTTTCATAACGGTATCTGTGACCGGAGCTGCTACACAGAGGCTTGTGGGTGGGATGGCCTGGACTGTTCCCCTAATGACCCGAGCAGCTTGGCAGGTGGCACGCTGATCATCGTGGTTCGACTGCAGCCTGAGGAGCTGCTTGGAGACCTAAATGGTTTCTTGCGCTTCCTGGGAGCTCTGCTGCATACCAATGTTCAGGTGATGCTGAACAGCAACAAGGAACCGATGGTGTTCCCTTACTATGGAGTGGAGGACGAGCAGAGATATCAAGGACAGAGGAGCAGAAGCAAGCGGGAAGCGGACAGAGAGGTTATTGGGTAAGAGTAGACCTAAAATACATGTATTGTTATCATGGTTTGTGGGTCCCACATGTCAGACATTGGGAGTATCAGGCCAATTCATCTATTAAAGTAGAGTTTTCTGTTCCCATTTGTGACCCTAGCTCTGAGGTGCATCTGGAAATCGATAATCGAGAATGTTTGAAGGCCTCATCTCATTGTTTCCCCAACACTTCTGTTGCTGCATCCTTCATAGCAGCAGAACACATTAAAGCTGAGCTGCCGTACCCTCTTATATCTGTCGCAAGTGAGTAGTCATTTTACACTTCAAACTCTTAACCCCGTGAGGAAAGTTGACCATTGAGCAGGGTTGATGGTTTATCCCTTGAGGTCCACGTGGCAGGGGTGAGGTGGTGCTCACTCCTCACCCCTGCCACATGGACCCAAGGGATAAACCATCAACCCTGCTCAATGGTCAACTTTCCTCATGGGGTCACAACCATTAGGACAGTGGGAGGGTTAAAAATTAAAGCAGCCTATATTCTGACTTGTCCTTTTCACGAGTATTTAAATTAAGGAAGGGGTGGGATGTATTTAATAACTAAAAAAGTTAAGTACTTAGGATTACCCTGATCTGGATGACTGATGTCTTGTTTTAATCAAGCAGCTGGAGTGAAAGAAGAGCCTTGTGTGATCTGCCCATACTTGATTGGAGTTGCTGTGGTTATCGTTCTGCTTATTCTGGTGGTGGGGATGCTGGCAGCCAAGAAGAAGCACAAACACGCTTTCTTATGGCTGCCTGATGGCTTCTTGCCCCAAAAAAATGACAAGAGGAGAGAGCCTGTTGGACAAGATGACTTTGACATGAAGTGAGTACAGACCAGTAGCTAACAAATCACACTATATTCAAACAAGTGCAATAAAACTCACCTTTTATATCATGAAAATTTCTTATTCTGAGAACTTTTGCATTGTTCTCGTGTCAGGAATTTCAAGAGCCAGGATGGAAGTTTAGTTGATGGAGGTCAGAGCCAGGGATGGCATGAAGATGAAACCCCATTCAAAAAACCAAGAGTGAGTTTATCATCAAAGATATTTGTGTCAAATAAAGATTTCCTCTACTATAAATTTATCCCCATCTTTTTGTAGACCGAAGACAAACCTCTTCTGTCCATCCCACTGGATGGAGGTGTTGATCTAAGAGAGTGGACCCTGCAGCATCGCAAAGCTGCAGACATCACTCTCACTCCTCCACAGGCTGACCTGGATGCCGACTGTCTGGACGTTAATGTCAAGGGACCTGGTAAGGAGAAAACACTCATTTAAACGTTTACATACCTAGTAATATTATTTATTATTTTGCATTGATGAATTTTCGCTCCTTCAGATGGCTTTACCCCGTTGATGCTGGCGTCTCTGCGTAACGGTGGAGGCCCAGACTGCAGCCTGCCTGAAGAGGAGGAGGAGAGCGGAGATGAACCCGGGCCGAGTGTGATTTCAGATCTGATCACTCAGGGTGCTAATCTGATGGCTCAGACCGATCGTACGGGAGAAACGGCTCTCCACCTGGCGGCCCGCTATGCTCGCGCTGATGCTGCTAAGAGACTTCTGGATGCTGGAGCTGACCCCAATGCTCACGACAACATGGGCAGGACTCCGTTGCACGCAGCGGTCGCAGCTGATGCACAGGGAGTCTTTCAGGTAAAAGACTGTTTCATACTCAGAAGAGGGTATAATATTGTACAAAATACTATATTACAAGTATTCTTGTAATATCATTCATCTAATATCTCATCCTTCTAGATTCTGATCCGAAATCGTGCAACAGAGCTGGATGCCAGGATGAATGACGGCACAACGCCACTAATCCTGGCAGCCCGGCTGGCTGTGGAGGGGATGGTAGAAGAGCTTATCCACTGCCATGCCGACATCAATGCTGTTGATGATCACGGTGAGTAGAAGGAGTCACCGCTCGTCTGGGAAAGGTGCTGGATCAAAAAGTGGAATAAACAAAATAAGAATCTGCACACTTTAATCTGCGATGTAGGAGTTTATTGGTCAAGCTTTTGGTCAGAGGCCTTCATGTTCCTGATGAAGGCCTCTGACCGAAAGCTTGACCAATAAACTCCTACATCGCAGATTGAAGTGTGCGGATGGATGATCACGGTGAGAAAAGCACTTTTTTGGTTTATGACTGACAGATGAATCCCAGCGCGTACTCGGTTTAGTGAGATTACCTGGAAGTGAGTCGCTCCGTCTTAAAAAGAAGTGGCAGAGAAAGTAGACTTTGTAGGCAGTAACGTTAGACTTATTTTCTATTTTTAAGGGAAGTTTTGTGGCTGAAGCATAGATTTGTCTTTTCTCACCGTTTCAGGTAAATCCGCTCTGCACTGGGCCGCTGCAGTCAATAACGTAGAGGCTACGCTGGTTCTTCTGAAGAACGGTGCCAATCGAGACATGCAGAACAATAAGGTCTATTATTTTGTTTCATTTATACGATTTTAAGTATTGTTTTTACACTGTGTGCAGATTATACACTTTCCACTACCTGCAACCACAATACAATAATGAATAATAAAATTTGTCAGGTAAAAACTTAAGGCAGCTACACAAATAAAAGAAACAAGTTGTAGAGCATTGGGAAATGTATTTTATTGAAGGTGTGGGTCACTGAAAACACTTTTCTAATAAATATTTCTGATTATAATCAGTCACTCTTGAGATTTTCATGCAACTTGAACATGAAAATGGTCTACACCATCTCCTGCATTAGTTTCTGATAGAAAATAGATGATGAAACTCTAGGATCTACTGTCACTTAGCATTCATGGACTCATTCATCTTTACTCTCGACAGGGAAGGCTGTTGTTGTGTTAGCGTCTAAGAAACAGCAGCGAACGTCTTGGCTAGTAGAAGCTAACAGTTAGCATAACAACTTTACCAAACAGCAGAACTCCTTCAACCTTGTGTTATTTGTGGAGATAAAACATCCATGTTGCAAGTCAGTGCTAGAGTTGCGTTGATGTTAGCCAATCAGAGGCGGGATGTTCATATATCAGGAAATATGAGTCAAAACCTGCCGTCTGAAGCTACTTGCTCCTCCAGCTGACTTGTAGTTCTTGAAACAGGCACATCTGTGAGCCCCCCTCCCTCCAAATACGACACACAAGGCATTCATTCCAACTAGAGACTACTGCAAAATGTATTGATTAAACAAGTGTTACACATCTTTAAATGAAATAAAGACCAAATAGTTTGATTATTTTTCTGTAACAAACTGTTGCTGTACAAACTCAATACTTGTGTTCTTTTTCACACACACACACACACACACACACACACACACACACTCACACACTCATAAAGACAGATAACGACCCAAACCTCTTCTTCTGTTTTAGTCCCTGTCGCGTCAAACTAGAGTTTTGAGCTGATTTATCAGTTTTATTGTAAGATTATGGCCATGTAGGAGCAGTAAGTCTGGTTCATTATAGTTTTAGTACAACTCAGCTGGTCAACTTAATAAAAGCACATGTAGAAATCCTGTAGGTAAACTTGCCGTAGAGCATCGCCCGTGGTAACAGGCTGGTCTTCTGTTTCCTTCAGGAGGAGACGCCATTGTTTCTTGCAGCGCGGGAAGGCAGCTTCGAAGGGGCTCAGGTTCTTCTTGACCACTACTCAAACAGAGATATCACTGATCACCTGGATCGACTTCCTCGTGACATTGCTCAAGAACGCATGCATCATGACATAGTCCGTCTTCTGGACCAGTACAATCTGGTTCACAGTCCACACAATGGGCCGAACCACATGGGTGGAGGAGGAAACTCTTCTGTTATGTGTGGAGCAAACGGAGCGGGCTTCATCGGTATGCGTCCCGGACCTCAAGGCAAGAAGAGCAGAAGGAGCGGGGGAGGGGCAAAGGTTGGAGGTGTTGGAGGAGGAGCTAAGGAGCCTAAAGACATGAAGGCAAAGAGAAGAAAGAAGCCTCCTGGTGGAGAAGGGTCAGCTTTGGGGGCTGCAGTTGGTGGAGGAACTGGAGGAGGTATAGGAGGAGGGGGAGCCAATGGTGTAAAAGCAGCAGGAGGGCTTCCAGAGACCTCTGTCACCATGTCACCTGTTGACTCCCTGGAATCACCTCACTCATACACAGGTGATGTTTCTGGTGCTGTCTCTACCACAGCAAACTCCCCTCCTCTCCTGAGCAGCCCCACTAGCAGGATGCTGCCCCCTGTCAGCCACATGCTAGGGCAGCAGCAGGGCTGGGTGGGTGTACCCAAACGTAGCTACAATGGCCACATGTACAGCATCCCCACCCAGATGAGGGGGCTGCACCCTGGCATGACCCAGCACCTCAGCCAGAGCTCGATGCTGACTTCAATGAATGTCACCATGAGCAGGGAGCAGCTGCCACCCATCGTCACTTTCCAGATGATGACCCCTGGAGCGGGCCGGGCCATGCTGAAGCCGACTCAGGCGGGTCAGGTACAAGTCACACAAGCCCAGGGGCAGAGCCAGGCTCTGGGTCACTCCCAGCAGGGACCGGGGAACCTGCACTGCAACCAGAATATGGTTTACCAGATGCCAGATCAGTTGAGCATGGCACATGGGCCCTCCCACACTCTGCAGGGCCCCCATACGGTCAGCCACGTCAGTCATGGAGGGATGGAGGGCCAGTCTCGGCCGCTGCAGCCTTATCCACCAATGCAGAGTCCTGTGGACAAATACCCCACACCCCCTTCCCAGCACAGTTACACCACTGGCTCAGAAGGTACTCCAGCCCACTCTGCCCAGCCACAAAGTGAGCATCCCTATCTCACACCTTCACCCGAATCCCCAGATCCTTGGTCTTCTTCTTCGCCACACTCCACCTCGGACTGGTCGGATGTCACCACCAGCCCCACCCCACTGGGGAACACCCACCATGCACTGCCATCATCACAACGCACACACATTCCTGAGCAGGCACAGATGCAGCCGCAGTCCCAGCAGATGCAGCAGCCAACTCAGCAGCCTCAGCTGGGAAACATGCAGGTGTTTGCATGAAGCTTCCAAAGAGCAGAAACACACTGACTCAAAGATTCATATGAAAACAATCAGCTCTTTTCACAGTTCTTTCCGTCATTGACTTGTGATAATAATAAGCCACTTCTTTTTTAATTTTTTTTTTCTCCGTTGAAAAAACAAAAACTCAGCTGAAGCTTGGAGGTAGCTGTTACAAGCTCTAAAAACGTTTCCATTTAACCACACTCATGCTGCCTTAGATCTCTGTGGCCACGACTTTGCTGTTTGTTTGGTACCAAACTGTCCACGTAACCGCTGCTCCCCAACCAGGTGCATCACATCCTGGTCCTGTGGTCATTTAGGGATCATCAAGAATGTGTCAGCCAGAGGAAGCTCGGCTGCATCAGGGTAACAAGTCCGTCTGTTATCACATCAAGACGGGACTGCAGAACACCAACGTTGCTTTCATGCTTTCTTGGCACATTCTTCAGTGTAATAAACAGGTGTGCACGTGAGTGGTGCACAAGTGTGTGTGTGGTATGAGCTTTACCATCTACGTGTGTTTCCTTAAGCGACAGCATGGATCGCATAACAAGCTTGTGCCCGATGTACGCCGCTTGTTCCACAGGGGAACTACCACCACTGCTGCAGATCCCATAATCTCACATTGCGTCCCACACACGTGCACACACACACACACACACACACACATGCACTTCCATAATTTGTGGTAATCGTATTGTTCAGTCTTGGGGGTGGGGTTTGTTTAAGGGGTGAGTACCTGATGCCTATAGAAAACATGATTAAAAAAAATTATGCACACCCCTGGTAAACGTTTTTGATACCATTCACTTTACGTTCTTTAATTTTTTTCTCATAGAAAAACTATCCAATTGTTCTTTTTTATTATCCATGTATTGTCTGTATTATGCTAGCGGTTGTTTTATACAGGAGGTATTGAAAGACAAAGAAGAAAATGACCACCATGCTGTAAACATTTTCAGTGTGTTTTAGTTTGTTGTTGTCTGTCTTCTCTTTTAAAAACCTAGGTGTTATATCCTCATCATTGTTGCAGTTTATGATAGTTTTTACAGGAACAAACCAAACCAGAGTGTGAGGGTGCTTCTCTAAGTGCAGTACCACTATTCTTTATAAGCAGTGGGATTAATCCAAAAACGTCCTTGTTTCTAAGATGTAATGTACACACACCTATAGCATATTCTGCTTGTTTCATTTGCCGTTCTTAAATGTCTTATTTTTTTGTGTAAATACTTTCCTGGACTTCCTGAATGATTTTTGAATGTTGGTATTTTTAACAACTGCCTCTTCTCTAAACTGTTGTCTTCCAAAAATATTCACTAGCTTTACTTAAAGAGCAAAAAGATTATTTCAGTTAATTTTTGTCTCAAAGCTGATCTTAAGCATGGTTAAACACAATCACAAACTGTTTAGATCTGTAAGACCAAATTGTGTCGTGTTGGCCTAGAACGCTTGTTTTTGGCAAAGCTTTGATAATTAATCAAAAGTCAGACACACGGCACACTTCCTGCTCCAACCAAAATGTTGTTGAATAATCAAGTCTGTGAGAACAAAGCAAATGTTTATGTATGACCTTGTTTTTCACTGCCGCTGTGTCTATGATCTGTACATAAATGTATTTTTGTATGTTTATCACTCTTTCCTATGTTAACCTGTTATATTCATACAATATGAAGTAGTTGTTTCAATGTATGCATACGGTAGAGCTAAGACCGATTACATGAGTTGTTAAAAAACAGTGATCAACCAAATGCGTTTACTAAAATAAAAGCCAAATCTTCTTAGACTTGTTGATATACATCCTCTTTATTGAGTGGTGGTTTCACTTATGCAGAGTGCAGCAGTTAATAGTGTACAACCCCTCACTGCTTATTTTAAACATGTAAGTACTACTACAATTAGTCTTTCTTGCTTGAGCTGCTCCTTGCTGTACACTTTTGTCAGGTTTAAACCCCTAAGACGTCTTAAACAACATAAAAGAGACACAAAAGTCAGAATTCTGTTTTATGCTCGAGGAGAATGGAAATAAGGTCCGACCAGCACAGTCTCCACTCTACCTCCAAAACCATTCTGCCTTTGAAATCCAAGTGTGTCCTTTTATTACAAGCTGGGCGGGTCCCTAGGTACATGCCTGAGAGCTGACACTGAAGGATGGGGGAAATCACAGCTCTGTTTTTAGTAATTGTTACAAGTTTCACACTTAAGAGCATTCAGTTTTTCTAATCAGTGTCTAATCACACGATGTGCAATAGACAGTTGCACGAGTCAGCAGTTGTCCAAGTGAGCAGATGTCCTTGGGTCACATTAGGTCAGGACCAAGGCTCAGCATTCTTAAAGTCTCCTCATGAGACTTAAACAATACAGCAACTGTTCAGCATAAATGGTAAAATCTTTAAATATAAAGAAAGCATAAAGCATGATAAAAGAAAACATAATTAACTTTATTTTTTGAAAAGACTCCAAAAGTTTTCATAGCTCCAAAACAACTGGTTGTGACAATCCCAAGTACTCAGATTCAGAAAGCTAATTTATACACTCACCAACATTTATACACCCTCTTCTGACCCTGATGTTTATGTTTACTGGTGAAATTAAACATACACACACACATATATATATATATATATAGAGAGAGAGAGAGAGAGGATTTAAAAAATATTACATTAAAGGGACTTTACGGAGTTTTGAATTTTTATGCTCACGATTGCCTCCTCAGGCCAAAAGTGTAACGGCAGCGTCAACAGTAGGCTCGTACATGAGGCGCGCATGCTGTACGTGCACACTCCTTAACGAGAATAACAGCTGAGAAAGTCCCGTGTGTGTGTGTGGCCTAGAGGACAGAGGTCAGGAGAACGTGCAGCTAATTAATTAAATAATTTGGTTCTGTACCTTTCTCTTCAGCACAGCCAACAAAGTGAAAAGTTGAACCCACATCTTTTTTATCTGTGAATTCAATGCCGTTCGGCGAGTCTCAAATAAAAATTTGGGCATCTTACTGTAAAAATTATACCATTCATGTAAAAAAGAAATGAAATAAACTATGATGACAAACAGAATCGAACCCGGGTCTCCTACACGAGAGTCCGACGTCTTACTAGGTGAGCTAAAACACCAATGACGTCTTTTGTATCTGTAACATTTTTATCCTTGATGACAGTTGAAACAACGTTCAAAGAACGGTTCGGAGCAAAAATGGCTATTTTGTTGCTAATTTGCAAGAAATTTCTAGAAGAAAGTTCTACAGAAAGTAGCTAAGGGTCCTCAGAAATGTAGCTAGCTTTGTCACTAGGCGTTGGGAACAGCGACGCAGACTAAAGCTACTGATAGCAAATGCTACGGGCTATGCCTGAGCGTGAACGCGCATGAAGCAGCCTGCTCGACCCGAGCAGTTCTCTTTTTCTGTGATTTTACAGAAAAACAGGCAATCACAGTAAAAATGCCAGGGCTCATTCTATAGGACCAGGACATTGCAGGAGAATGTATGAAGAAGAAATTTATTTCTATACATGTTTTGGCTGTCAAACTTCCATAATGCCCCTTTAAAGCGCAAAATTAAATGAATGTTTACTATGTGTAAAGTGTTTGAAATGTTTTGCTATGTACATATAATTTTGTGAAATTCAAAGGATGATAAACCAGTAGTACTAAATAAATCCAGGCTATATTTTGCCAATGTTTTGTGAAACATCCCACAGGATGATACTCGAGTGCAGAGAATCCTTGGGAGAAACACCTAAACTTAAACATGACTGTGTGCAGGGCCAGTGTTCTGACTATCCTTGCTTTCTTGTTGAATTTTCCTACCAACGCGCATTTCAACAGCTGATTCAGTCTGTCCAGGTTTACTGAAGATCGGTAGCTACTGTTAATGTTTTATGATAAAAAGTGGATAGTGTAAGAAGCATTTTAGTCATTCGTAAAAATTAACCCCTTAGTTGCTAAAAACATTTGAATATTCTCAGAACAATGACGATTTACCAACTACTTTCACACATGTCGAGAAAGTCGTCATCGTCGTCGTCTTCCTCTGCTTTTCCGGGTCCGGGTCACGGGGGCAGCATCCCAACTAGGAAGCTCCAGACTGTCCTCTCCCCGGCTACCTCCACCAGCTCCTCCGGCAGGACCCCAAGGGGTTCCTGGACCAGATTGGAGAAGTAACCTCTCCAGCGTGTCCTGGGTCGACCTGGGGGCCTCCTGCCGGCAGCACATGCCCGAAACACCGCCCCAGGGAGGCGTCCAGGAGAAATCCTGACCAGATGCCCAAACCACCTCAGCTGACTCATTTCGATCCGGAGGAGCAGCGGTTCTACTCAGAGTCCCTCCCAAATGTCCGAGCTCCTCACCCTATCTCTAACGCTGAGCCCGGCCACCCTACGGAGGAAACTCTTTTCGGCCGCTTGTATCCGTGATCTTGTTCTTTCGGTCATTACCCAAAGCTCATGACCACAGGTGAGGATTGTGACGTAGATCGACCGGTAAATCGAGAGCCTGGCTTTCTGGCTCAGCTCCCTCTTCACCACGACAGATCGGCTCAGCGTCCACATCACTGCAGACGCTGAACCAATCTGCCTGTCGATCGCCCGATCCCTCCTACCCTCACTCGTGAACAAGACTCCGAGATACTTAAACTCCTCCACTTGAGGTAGGACCTCTCTCCCGACCCGGAGATGGCAAGCCACCCTTTTCTGATTTAGAACCATGGTCTCAGATTTGGAGGTGCTGATCCTCATCCCAGCCACTTCCCACTTGGCCGCGAATCTACCCAGCAAGAGCTGAAGGTCAAAGCTGGATGAAGCTAGGAGGACCACATCATCCGCAAAAAGCAGAGACGAGATTCTCCTGCCACCAAACTCGACACACTCCACACCACGGCTGCGCCTAGAAATTCTGTCTATAAAGGTAATGAACAGAACCGGTGACAAAGGGCAGCCCTGGCGGAGTCCAACCCTCACCGGGAACAGGTCCGACTTACTACCGGCTATGCGGACCAAACTCGCACTCCTCTGGTAAAGGGACTGAATGTCCCTTAACAGAAAGCCACCCACCCCATACTCCTGGAGCGTCCCCCACAGGGTGCCCCTGGGGACACGGTCATAAGCTTTCTCCAAATCCACATAACACATTGTGGATTGGTTGGGCATACTCCCATGCCCCCTCCATCACCCTTGCAATGGTATAGAGCTGGTCCACAGTTCCACGGCCAGGACGAAAACCACATTGCTCCTCCTCAATCTGAGATTCAACTATCGATCGGACCCTCCTCTCCAGTACCTTGGAGTAGACCTTTCCAGGGAGGCTGAGGAGTGTGATCCCCCTATAGTTGGAACACACCCTCAGGTCACCCTTCTTAAAGATGGGGACCACCACCCCGGTCTGTCACTCCACAGGAACTGCCCCCGATGACCATGCAATGTTGCAGAGACGTGTCAACCACGACAGCCCTACAACACCCATAGCCTTGAGATACCCAGGACGAATCTCATCCGCCCCCGGTGCTCCGCCGCTGTGTAGTTGTTTGACTACCTCAGCAACTTCTGCCCCCGAGATTGGACAGTCCATCCCCAGGTCTCCCGGCTCTGGTTCCTCCTCGGAATGCACGTAGGTGGGATTGAGGAGCTCCTCAAAGTATTCCTTCCAACGTCCGACTATAGCCCCAGTTGACGTCAGCAGCTCCCCATCCCCACTGTAAACAGTGTGAGCGAGTTGCTGCCTTCCTCTCCTGAGGCGCCGGACAGTTTGCCAGAACCTCTTTGGAGCCGATCGATAGTCTTTCTCCGTGGCCTCACCAAACTCCTCCCATGCCCGAGATTTTGCCTCGGCAACTGCCACTGCTGCACCCCGCTTGGCCATCCGGTACCTGTCTGCTGCCTCCGGAGACCCACAGACCAGCCACCCTCACTATGCGTTTGGGTCTGCCAGGTCTACGCGGCATCTTCCCCTGCCATCTGGTCCAACTCACTACCAGATGGTGATCAGTTGACAGCTCCGCTCGTCTCTTCACTCGGGTGTCCAAAACATACGGCCGCAGGTCAGATGATACGACTACAAAGTCTATCATCGACCTGTGACCTAGGCTGCCCTGGTACCAAGTGTACCAATGGGCATCCTTATGTTTGAACATGGTGTTCGTTATAGCCAAACTGCGGCTTGCACAGAAGTCCAATAACGAAACACCACTCGAGTTCAGATCAGGTGGGCCGTTCCTCCCAATCACACCCCTCCAGGTCATGCTGTTATTGCCCACGTGAGCATTGAAGTCCTCCAGCAGGACAATGGAGTCCCCTGATTGAGCTCTATCTAGCAGTCATCCCAGGGACTCCAAAAAGGGTGGATACCCTGAACTCATATTTGGCCCATAAGCTCAAACAACAGTCAGGACCCGTTCCCCGACCCGAAGGCACAGGAAAGCTACCCTCTCGTCACCCGGGGTAAACCCCAACACACAGGCAGAGAGTCTTGGGGCTAACAAAAAGCCAACCCCAGCCCTCCGCCTCTCACCCGGAGCAACTCCAGCAAAGGAGAGTGTCCAATCCCTCTCAAGGACTTGGGTTCCAGAGCCAATGCTATGTGTCGAGGTGAGTCCGACTAAATCTAGCCGGTACCGCTCAACCTCTGCCACAAGCTCCTGCTCCTTCCCCACCAGCGAGGTGACGTTTCATGTCCCAAAAACCAGTTTCATTGTCCGGGGATCAGACCTCCAAGGCTCCCGCCTCGGTCTGCCACCCGATCCACACCCTTCATGTTCCTCCTGCGGGTGGTGGTCCACAGTTGGATGAGCCCATGTATCCGGTTCGGGCTGGGCCCCATGGGCGATAGCCCGGCCACCAGGCGCTCGCTCACGGGCCCCAACCCCAGGCATGGCTCCAGGGTGAGACCCCGGTAACCCTCCTGGCCGGGTACTCCGACTCTTTGATTGCATATTCATGAAAGATCCTCTGAACCGTTCTTTGTCTCTCACCCTTCACCTAAGACCAATTTGTCATGGGAGACCCTACCAGGGGCACAAAGTGCCCCAGACAACATAGCTCCTAGGATCATTAGGGCACTCAAACTCCTCCACCACGATAAGGAGGAGATGTCGAGAAAGTGATTCATAAAAATTTGTAAGACGTTAGCTCTTGCCATTCTATTTCCTTTACTAGACAAATGAATCCACATAGAACAAATATGCTTTCCCCCCAATGTTTATAGTTATTTGTTTGAATGTATAATTTTGGAGATTATTATTCAACTATGATAAATTTATTATATGTATAATATAAAACTTTTGGATATTAATTTGGGACACTTTCAGAATGACTGTTAACAGTGGGAGAAATTTCTTGTTCACAGTATAATAACGTACACACACACACACACACACACACACACACACACACACACACACACACACACACACACACACACACACACACACACACACACACACACACAAATGAAACACGAAGAAATTAGAAAATTCACTGCGTGTGCGCCAAAATGTACCAGTGGCAGACCTAATGTTCTTCTGCATTCTCGCTACATACCCGGTTTTTACTCCCTCTCCCCAAAAGAGAATAAATCTCACTCATAGTTTTGCTAAAGTCTGCGGCCATTCATCTTTGCGGACGTTTCACAATTTACAAATCATATTATCAAGACAATGCTATTGATATTAAATCATTATTCCAGGTTTCAGCAGTCTCAGAATTGTATTGGTTCTCAAAGAAAAAATGACCGAAATGCCGTTTCTTTCATTTATAAGAACAAAACACTTAAAAAAGCACCGTTTTTGAACGCGTCACCCTGTCCTCTAGGTGGCGAGGAAGCGCCTCTCAGTGACTTTTAGCTACCACTTATTCAACAGAAGAAGAAAATTAACGAACACGGAAGTCCTACAGAAATTTACCTTTGCTGCAACTATGATATACTAACCAGGTGGATCGTTTTTATGTGTTTACTTTTGTCTTTCGTCGGAAAGTTAAAATTTAATGAATGGAAGCGTCTCGACTGTTGCTGCGGGAAGCCGGAAGTGATAATGTGGTCTAAACAGCGGACGGACGGAGTTTGAGGGTTGCTGTTTTGACAGCTGAGAGGAGTCCTCGTCTGTCTCTCTTTGTCCGGTCTCTGTGAAGCGACCAGAAGAACAACTTACACCGAGGAATTTCCCTAAAGCAGAGACGTCCCTGTGAAGTTTTTTCGGAGCGATCTTGATCCAAGAAAATGTGAGAATTCACCTGTCAGAGTTTTACCTCTTTATCATCTTTTAAAACCCTAAAACAAACAGTGCTCGTGAATCTGGACTGAATGTCTTTACTTTGTTTCCCCAGCGAGCCATGGCCTCATCCCGGTTGAAGTACCTGTCCCTGGGCGTGCTGGTGTTCCAGACCACCTCCCTGGTGCTCACCATGCGGTACTCCCGAACCCTGCAGGCCGATGGCCCGCGCTACCTGGCGTCTTCAGCCGTGGTGGTGGCCGAAGTCATGAAGATCATCGCCTGTGTTCTGCTCGTCTTCAAGGAGCACAGTGAGTGCAGTGATGGGACAAGTATTATGAGACTGTTATAAAACTAATCAACTGTGTTTATCATAGTACTTCATGTAGCCACTTCAAATAGAAAATAATGCTTAAAAGGCTTGATTGAAGCTATTAAAATGTTTTCTACATGATTCTGTTCTTCTGCCCGTTTTCCACTCAAACTTAAACTCAAAGTAAATTCTGTTTTCTTTGTCCAGACTACAGTATGCGAGCTCTGAACAGCGTCCTGCGACAGGAAATCCTCCACAAACCCATAGACACGCTGAAGCTGGCCATCCCCTCGGGGATCTACACGCTGCAGAACAACCTGCTGTACGTCGCTCTCTCCAACCTGGATGCAGCCACCTACCAGGTTCAGCTGAGATCCACTTTTATGTGCTTCACTCTGAATATCACATGTTTGTTTCACGATTTAAGTAGTCCCACTTTGTATCCGTAAGGTGACCTACCAGTTGAAGATCCTGACCACGGCTCTGTTCTCGGTTTCCATGCTGGGCCGCAGACTGGGCGTTTACCAGTGGCTCTCCTTGTTGATCCTAATGGCCGGAGTGACCCTTGTTCAGGTAGGATCAGTTTCTCCTACGGCGACGGCTTATGGAAATGAGAAACCTTAAACAAACATGCACCAGTTCTTCCAAAATGCAAGAGTTTAAACATTCATCTGTAGGTGAAAACTCAACAGAACCTGCAGTATGTTTCCTTTTGCTTTAAAAATGTTCTCTATAATATTTAGTGGTAAAAGGCTTCTAAAAGAACCACACACAATATTTTCCTGCTTACCTGATCATCAAATTGAACTCTGACTTTGTTTTCTTTGGCAAAAAGCACATGTGGGTGAAAGTTCATCAGACTGCTTTTCTCTGGTCCAGTCGGAGTTAGAAACTCTGTAGAAGCACGTCAAAGAGAACAATATTAACAGGTTCTATGAAGGTTATGTTCACTATTCATGCATCTGTATTTTATATTAACATATGTCAGTTTTCTTTGTTCTTATAAATGTTGGTACTCATAAAAAACTTGAAGGGAGGAGGTTTAACGAACCCCAGAGTAACTCAGAGCAAGGAAACTTGTTTTTGGCTCCACAATTTGTTCTTTAATGTGTTCAGTCAAGTCTGATCAGGTCCAGTTTATGTTTTAGTATATTTCAATCTAACAGATTGCCAACTGTTGTCGCCCTCTGCTGCCCGCTCTCCCATCTCCGATGATGCAGTCCCACGCTCGATCCAATGTTTAAACCCCATTGTCTCTGTTCATGGTCCCACATCCACGTCTCCTTATCTCCATAACTTCCTTTATCCATCTTTTGTATTTCTGTTGTTCGGTGTTTATGATCCTTGTGTTGTCCCAGTCCATTATATGGTTTTCTCTTGTGCAGTGATCTGTTACGGCTGACTTCTTTATTGTGCTTTCTGCTTCTTGTTTTGCTGCTCTTGTGTGTCTTCGACTTGTTTCCTTCTTATACTCCTTTCTATGTTCTATTGTTTGTGTGCTGAGTTGGCGTCCGGTTTCTCCTATGTATGTTTTATTAAAGAATTAGCATGGGATTTCGTAAACGATTCCACATTTAAGTCCAGCTGGTATCTTGTCTTTTGGGTGCACTTGTCTGTTTCTAACTGTTGTGTATGGTTTTGTTGGTGTGTTTTTGTTGAGTTTTTTCATTGTTGCTCTTATCTTTTCTGTTATGCCTTTGATGTATGGTAGGGTTATCACTGGTTTTGGTTTTTGTCTTTCTGGGTTTCTGGTTCTTTGCTTAGGTTGATCTTGTCTTCCTGTTGTTGTTTGTTGTTTTCCTTTGTTTATTGCCCATGTCGGGTATCCGCAGGTCTTTAAAGCGTGTTGTATGTGTTTGTCCTCTTGTTTACGGTCTCTTTCTTCTGTTATCATGTTTGCTCGGTGATATAATGTTCTGATTACTGACATTTTGTGTATGGTGGGGTGTTCTGATGTCCATAATAGATATTGGTCTGTGTGTGTTGGTTTCCTGTATGTGTTTATGTTTAGGGTCCCGTCGGTCTGCCTGGTTATTTTCATGTCCATAAATGCTATACGCCTTCTGTTTCTGACTCATATGTGAACTTTATGCTGCCTGTGTTGTCAATGTTACTCAATTGTTGTGTTAGTGTTTCTGTTTGTCCTTTTGGTATGATTTCCAGTAGGTCGTCTACGTAGCGTTTCCATAGTTTTATTTTGCAGTTGGGGGGGCAGTGGCTATGACTTTTTGCTCTAGGTCTTCCATGAAAAACTCGCACAGGGTGGCTGATAACGGGTTACCCATGGCGAAGCCTTCCAGTTGTTTGTATATTGTGTTGTCGTATGTGAAGTAAGTGGAGTTAGCTACCAGTCCTATCAGCTGTGCTATGTCATCTGCTGTGAGGTTTGCTCTTTTGTGTAAAGTCTTGTTCTGTCTGATTCTGTTAGCTACTATGTCTATGGTTTTTTGGGTTGGTGTTTTTGTCAACAGGGATGTGACGTCATGTGAGATGAGTATGTCGTTGTCTTCTATTGTAATCTTTTGTAGTTCTTTTGCCAGTTCTATGCTATTTTTGCAGTGTTGATCTGTGTTACCTAATACCGGACTGATGATTTTGCTAATATCTCTTGCCATGTTGTATGTTGGTGTACCTATGCTATATACTACTGGTCTAAGTGGGGTGTTTTGTTTATGTATTTTTGGTATTCCATATATTCTTGGTGTTATGTTTGCCGTAGGAATCCAGTGTTTGTACATTTTTTCTGTTATGTTGCCTTTTTCTTGTAGTGGCTTCAGTAATTTTTCATGTTTTTCTTAATGTTTTCTGTTGGGTCTTCTTTAAGTATTTTGTTTGTATTTTTGTCCCCTAGCATCTGTTTCATCTGTTGTTTATATTTTTCTTTGTCCATAACTACTGTGGTTCTTCCTTTGTCTGCCGGTAGAAAAGTATCTGTTCATTGGGGCAGCAGTAGCTCAGGTGGTAGAGCGGGTTGCCTCATGATTGGAGGGTCATGGGTTCGATTCCAGCTCCCACCAGGTGTATCCTGCTGTTGTGTCCTTGGGCAAGACACTTCACCCAACTTGCCTGTGTTAGTGGTGGTCAGAGGGGCCGACGGCGCCAAATGGCAGCCTCACCTCTGTCAGACCTCCCCAGGGCGGCTGTGGCTACAAGTAGCTTACCATCACTAGCAGTGTGTGAATGTGAGAGTGTGTGGAAGTGTCTTTGGGTGTCTTGAAAAGCGCTATATAAGTTCAATGCATTATTATTATTATTATTTTTGGATAAAGCTGTCATGGCTGATTGTTCTTCTTCTGTAACATTGCTGTGTTGAATTTTGCTGTTCTTTAATATCCCAACTACTTTATTTCTAAGCTCTGCTTTCTTTCCCTCATCTGTGATCTGTTGACATGCTAGTTCTGTTGCTACGATAAATTCATCATATGGTATTTTCTTTGGTGTTGCTGCAAAGTTTAAACCTTTTTTAATATGCTTTCTTCTGCTTCTGTTAGTTTGTATTGTGAAATGTTACATAACCATGAGCTTTGTGTGGTGTTATCTTGTTTTTTTCTTTTGTTTTTCTTGTTGATGAGTTTGTTTAACTTCTTTATGTGTCTTTCTTTTACTTTTGTGAACTCTTTTACCTGTTTTTCCATCATGTGTCCTTTAATTTGTTCCTCCATTTTATCATCAAGTTTGTAATTCCTTTTTAGGTCCAGGTGTCTTCTTTCCAGTTCGTTTTCCACTTGCTTCTGTTTGGTTGTGACGTTTCTTATCCTTTCGTTGAGTAGTGCTCTCTGTGTTCTTTCCATTATGTTCTGTGCCGTCTTGGTCCACATCGATGTTTTCAGCTGTAGGCTTGTTGGTGTGATGCTTTCGTCCCGGCATCTTAAATTGAAACGAAGGTGGTTCCTAGGACGTGCATGTTTTTGGTGTAATCGTTCCAAATGGCGGGACAAAGCAAGAACGTACAAAAGAAATATGAGTGAGACTGCACCAGCATTGGCAGGACAGAGCATCGCTATCAGCCCTCAAGTTTTTGCTGAGTTACAAGGTCTGGAGGGGAAATGGATCTAACCTGTGTAGGTTGTTTATAAATCACTACACACTCTTGAATTAAAGGTTGAATATGGAACCATTTAATTAATTTAAAAGTTAATTTAGAGGTATGCAGAATGAAGGTAAAGCATTTCCTTTAAAAGCTATATTTTAATAAAAAACATCAGATATTTATTTGACAGCACAACGCTGGGTTTATGTTTCCATCTGCCAGCCAATAGAGGGCACCATTGCAGGTTGTGAAATAGGGCTGCAACAACGATTCGATAAAAATCGATGAAAAAATGCATTGGCAACGCATTTCGTCATCGATTCGGTGTGTTGTGCAACTTTTTTTCGTGTTGCACAACCTTTATTTAACAGTGAATGCGCGCAGCTCGTGTGTAGGAGGCAACAGAGCAGACCGAGGCAGATCAGAACGAGAGAGAAAGACGGTGTTTTGACGAGGAACAAAACGGAAACCAACAAAGGCAGAAATGGTTTGGGATCAAAAGTGCAACAACGGGCAGATGAGCTAATGCTAGCAGGTAGCAGGCTCACTATCTAAGTAGGGTTCCGAAAAAACATGATGGTTGTGAAACTAAGAACATCTAAACTCCACAAGTGGAAGAAAAGTCCTCACCATCCTGTTTATTCTTGGCTGACTGCAGCGCTATGGAGCAGAACCGCTGTCAGGTTCGAGTCTGCTCGGCTAAACACCACAGCAGGATTTTAGCAAGCCACTGTAGCATGTAATTCACTAACGCATCCATCTGTGAACATAATTTAAACTGGAATATTGCCAAAGTGTACATAATCAATATGTCACCATTACATTTTTTGCAATAGAAATTAAATGTCAGCATTTCCAGTAGCTTACTACTGAACATGTTAATGAAATACATACAATTTTACTGAGCAAAGTTTAATTATGTATATATTTAGGGGATAGCATGTTGTTTTGCACGCTACTGAACCGTTTTCTAATCATGGTCTGTTGTTAAAGCAAAGGAAGGAGAGAAAAAAGGTTTCCCTAGAAGTTTTTTAATGTTCCAGTTTAATCCGATTAATCGAGTCGAGACCCCTTCCGATTCATCGATGATCCAAATAATCGTTTGCTGCAGCCCTATTGTCAAACAGTCCGCTTGGCACAATGAGGCTGGTCCTGTGGAAAATGGCAGCCTCAGCTAGTCAAGCAGCTGCTTCTGAGCCCAGAAGAGGAGCAACCATAAAAGATCTGAAACCAGAGTGAGTTTAGGCGAAGCCTACAACAGATTCACTCAAAGAAAACATTACGGTTAGGTCCCTGTGTGAGCGGTGTCAGAGCTTGGTCCATCACCGGCAGTAAGTCGAGCTCGTTCCCAGTGAGAGTTGGACTCCGCCAAGGCTGCCCTTTGTCACCGATTCTGTTCATAACTTTTATGGACACGACTTGTAGGCACAGACAAGGTGTTGAGGGGATCTGTTTTGGTGGCCTGAGGATCGAGTCTCTGCTTTTTGCAGATGATGTGGTCCTGTTGGCTTCATCGGAATGTGATTTCCAGCTTCACTGGAGC